ACCTTACACGGTAGGCACAAATGCTTTCTTTTTCCTATTCTTAGGAAGTCAAGACTATGACAACATACTCTGCGTACAGCCCAGATGCATCAGAAGAGGGAGAGTGGTCCTAGGTTCCTGACTCATAAAAGATTTTTCTTGTGAGATGCTAACCCCATAGCCTGAGCAGAAAAGTAGACACAAGTTTGTCTGCCAAACTATCCTCTCCTCCTGGCCCCTAGGTTGGCCCTTTTCCCACCTGGGTGGTTTAGTGCCCTGTCCTTCTTATAATGTCCTCTCATTATCTTCCCATTGCAAAATGAAATTTATTTCAAGTGACTCAGTAGAGGCTGAGCTTTAATGCCTCTATTCCCACAGCTAATCAGTTGTCAAATCTACCTCCATGCTGTCTCTCCTCTCCTTTCCATTACCTGGAAATGCTGTTCTCTGACTATTCCTTCTACTTGTCCAGGAACATGGTAGAATTCACATCCTCTCCTCCCTGAAGTGGATCATGGCTGGCCATGTGACTTGCTTTGGCCAATAAGATATGGGCAGGGGTGCCATATGCTGCTTCTGGTGGAAGGAAGCATTTTATTGCAGACACTACAGTCCTTTCTTCTTCTTGCCACTGGAACCAACACTCCAGAAGGTGGAGGCTCTGTTGACCTGATTCCCAGAATAAGGACTCCAAGTCTATGTGAGCAAGAAATAAACATCTGTTAAACTATTTCACTGGTTGTTAATGCATTGTGATCTCGCCCATCCTGACTAACATACCTGGGCTACTGTTGGAGTGCAGGTTCTCAGCGCTTGTCATCTGAACTCTAACACATGCTACTCAAAGTGTGGTCTACACACAAATGTCAATCCACAAAACATCACCAGTCTGCAAAGAGGCAGGCATAGAGATTGAGAAAAAACATTTAGAAAATCTTATAACAACTTAACTAATTTTTATCTGTTGGATCTATTAATAAAATATTTGGCCTTATGTTTCCCCCAAATATTAGCATTATGCCTTGCCCATGGGATGCTACAAAAGATGCTTGTCATTAATTTGGATCAAAGCTTCATGACTAAGAAGAATTACAGTAAGATTTCAAGCAATAGCAAGCAGAACTGGGGGATATTTAGGGTGTAAGACCCTTCCTCATTCAGGGTGAAATTATTTAAAAGTTCCAAGTCTACTCTTTGTGCCAGTAGTTTAGCTTTAACAAGCAGAGAATCTTTCTGAGTTCTCATTTAACATTAAATATTGCTTTAGGTTTCCCTACATAAACATTAATGTATTTACTGTATGTGATAAAACTTTGTAAGTATATTGCCTATGAATATGGTTTTCCAGATTACCCACAGTTTGACAATTTGATACATTTGTTCGAGAGTACAAGAGGATAATGCAATTAACACCTAAATCACATCCTAACTCCCTCCAGCACTAACTAGAGTTATGCTTTTGTTTCCAAAGTCTCTTTGGCACACATTAGTATATTTCTGTGCACCATTCAGGAAAGGGGCAGCATGGTATTCTGGAAAGCTAGGTGACAGAACTGCTTCTAGTCCTCATTACCTACTCCCTCACTACTACACAAAGCCCCTACTTAACCACCTGGTACCCTAATTTCCCCATCTATGAAATGATGAAAATAAGTTAATAAGAACAAATAGCAACAGCTCTTTTGTAAGAATCAAAACAGAGTGAAGCACTTGGTATTGAATAAAGTGCTACAGAACTATGTTAGCATTTATATATAATACTGCCTTAGAATGCTCTCCAGTTATCTTGTATATGTAGATTTTCTCCAAGCTAGCTAGAGGTGCATTGTGAATATTTCTTTGGGTCCTATTCAGAGTTCAGTCCTCTGGGACAAATAATACACATATGATAATTGTTTGAAAAGTATTTAATATGCCAAAAGCTGAACCCCTTCGTGGTTAAGTAAACTGTATAAACTTCACAGACCACATGACAGGTATGCCTCACTCACCTGAGATAGTTTTGGATTTTGGCTGAGAGTTGTCATTAGCTACCTGAGTCTCTTGAGAGCAGAGGTCATATCCCAGTAATCTTTGTACCCCCAGCACTTACCTAAGTCATCTAAGCACACAGAAGGAGCCCAAGTGATAAAAGATAAATAAATGAAGTGAACTTTAATTACAAACTTCCTAATATTACCTCCACTCAATACCCTGAAACCTAAAAAGCCAATCTTGATTTTGGTTAAAACGGTTTGGGGGAAGTTTTTCAGAATCATCTGGAAAATGCACCATTTTTAAAGCACACCTACGCAACAAGTCATGTGATTTTCCCAACCTCTTTCCTTACTGAACACAAGCAGTTCTTATTCAAAGATCATTAGAGGCTTGGGCTGCGGGAGATGGGGTGGGAAGGAACAGAACAGCTATTGGTCTGAGAGAAGGGGAAATTGCACTGTTCATTGTTCAGAGACGACAACATTATTCTGCACATGTAAACAGTCAAGGTGAAAACGCAGCAGACAGATAAAGAGCTTCTGTATGGAATATAAACCTTGGCAGGAGCCACTGTGCTGTGGTAGCAAAAGGCCTCCTGCTGGGGCTGCAATGGAAAAAATGACCTCAGAGAGGAATTCAGAGCAGAAAGGCTCAGAAAAAGAAGATGAAATGCCATGCAGTTTGGGTGAAGTCCTTTGCTCCTGGGCATATTAAAGCATAAAACAATTTCAGTTTAAAAAATACAGATCACAAGAATTGGTTGGAGTTTAATATTTTTTTCCTAATTATAGCTTACAATTCCAGAGTGCCACTCACTGCCCTCATGTTTCTCACAGGAGATCCACAGTGTTTAGGCCAGGAGGGGTACTACGGTAATCTGGACTCACTGGACCCACATCAGCCAATGTTCCATGGAGCTGCCTTGGCAGAGGGTGCCCTGACCAGGCAAGGATGGAGAAGCGGCAGCACCCCTTTTCCTCTTTCTGGAACCCACCTGGAGAGGGCTGCCCTCCTATGTGTATTCCAGCAGCAAATGGCGTCTCTCATTGGTGGTGAGCAGCAAGTTCAGCAAGTGTTTCAGGTCGGGAGTCTTCGGCTATGTAATCTGAGCCTGAAATTTCTTTAATAAATTTGACATTTGCAAGGGAGAAAAATGAATCATTTCATATGGATATGAACAAAACCATAGTCTAGAAAAATACTCACACCACCCACCCCTGCCCCAAACAACCTTTATTTTTAGACAGAGCTGCATTTTGAGAAAACATGAATCGAGTCACAAACTCAATGACAATCAAGAGTAATTTTAGAGGCACGCCAGAAAGAAAAAGGGGGTGTGAGCACATAAAACTCATTTGCATTTTTATTTATGCTATTTCCCACAGGCTGAAAATAAACTTTGAAGAGCACCATTTCTCAAGCTGATCAGCTCCTAGAATCGGAAAACTTTGTGCTTATTTAGCAGTGCCCTCTGGTGTCCAAGTGGATTTTAGTTTTGCCTTGAGGTAAAAAATAAGCCGTTATAGAATTTAACAAGTCTACCAGCAGCATTCATCCAGTCATCAAATATTTATTAAGAGCTTAGTAGCTATGCCAGTTACTGTGGAACAGGGTGGGATACACAGGTATTTAAAAGAAGACATGAATGTAAATGCAATTACAAAATCACTTGGTCATACACAAGAAGTCTCTTTACCTAGTTTTCCACTAAAATGAGACAGATATAGCGGGGTTGTCTCCTTTCCAAACTGTTCTGGATCTTTATTCACATTAGCGGGTATCTGGCTGGCTATGGACGGAACAACTTAGGTCAAGTACACTGGGAACATTCTGAAACTGGGTAAACATTCCCGGACATCCAGTTTTAACAATTTCTGCGAAAAAGCTTTCACGGTCAACCCGACGGACACTTCTGGTCTTGTAGTATTCTGGTCATCAGACAGGATACACAAATCTAACACTGAGCTTTACATTTCTTTCTGAAAATGTACCATTTTCCTAGCACTATGATGAAAATCCTCAAAAGGAATGAAGTGGGAAAAACCCTGAGAATTAATCATTACTGTTTGAGAATTCTTAGATCTGAAAATTGACAACTAGAGCTTCAGAAACACACATTGTTCTGAACTGATACATCTTCAGACTTTCTGGAGGAGCAGGGGGAATCTAAAAAGAATTGCCAAGACCTTCCATGGAGAGATTAACCAAAGAACATATATGTATACCAGTATATGTATAACCCATGACACAGACAATAGTGGGGAAGGCTTGGGGTAGGGCAGGGGCTTCTTGTGGGGGGAAATACTGTCAATAAAAATTAAAAAGTAAAACAAACATGCAATTTAAATGTCATCAAAGAAAAGAGGAACTACTACAGACCAGGAATGATGCTTTTAAACCACCTTGTAATATTCTTACTTTTTGCCATTTTCCATTCTTATTATTTTTGGTTTTCTAGATTAATCAGCCATGACTGGATTCTAACCAATAGATTATGACATAGGTGAGAGGATTATATCATTTAAGATTATGAAGTCTGGCTTGCAGAGAATCTCCTTGTTGGCTTTGAGGAAACAGCCAGCTGTGCAGGCAAGGCCCACGTGGCAGAGCTGAGTGGCCTCTTGCCAGGAGCCCACTAAGAACTGAGACCCTCAGTCCAACAGCCAGCAGGGAACTAAAAGCTGCCACTAACGAGCAAGGAAACAGACTCTTCTCCCTCCAAGCCCCAGATGAGACTACCGCCCTGCCAGCACCTTGACTGCACCCTTATAAAGGACCCAACTTTGAGATATTAAATGGGTGCTGTTTTAAGTTTGTTATATTATTTGCAATGATAGTTAACATAAATCTCAAGATCCTTTTTATAAACATTTTTATGATAAAAAGAAATAATGAAGACCAACTCATCCTTTTACTGCCCTGTCATTCTATTATAACCACAGTTAGCAATTTATTATATGCTGGGTGTTATTTATAGCCATGATCATATCCATTCATACACTTTTATATCTTGCTTTTTTACTTAATATTTTCTCATGTTCATTATATTCTTTACTAGTTTTTAATGAGTACATAATGTACCATTCATTGGAGATATATATATACACACACACACACACACACACACACACACACACACACACATATATTTGGCAAACTATGGTCCTGCATTTGTAAATAAAGTTTTATTAGAACACACTCATCCATGCTCATTTGTTTACCTATTGTCTATTGTTATTTTTGTGCTACAAACTACAGAGTTGAGAAGCTGTGACAGAGACTACACGGCCTGCAAAGCCTAACTTATTTACTTCCTGGCTCTTTACCGGAAAAGTTTATCAACCACTGCCCTAAACTTTTAAGGGGTTTATAATTTGGGCAATTACAAGTAATGCTATTTATAACATCTTTGTGCATATAATTTTTATACTTTAGGCAACTTGATTGGATTATAACAAACGTGGAATAAATGGGTCTACTTCATAAAGATGTTTTTAAGGCGGACACTGTCCCTCACTATTTCCCTTGTAACAGTCTACTCTGATATAGGGTTGTGGTAATAAGAAGGGAAAGGAAGGCTCAGTATCTTTGTAGGTAGCACTTCTCTGGTCCTTATTAATCTAGACATGCAAGGTCACACTCTGGATGAACTTAATTATAGTTTTGATTTAAAGTAAACAAAAAAGGAATGTAACAGTAATTGAAACATTAGGAACAATTACAGAAATATTTACTTTCTACTGGGACTAAAAATCAGGCTAACGTAAACTCTTCAGGTATCAAGGTGTATATGAAAGGTATTCAAATCTATCTGTAGTGGCCAAAGGCACTGAGAGAGCCGAATTAGGAAAAGGGTGGCAGTCTCAACGATGAGCTGGCAGTAACAGCAGTGAACGATGAGGCAGCTAAGAGTGGAGGATAACCCTCTTATAACATCCTAGGCATAAACTTGTATACAACTGTAATTAAACTGTCTCAGATAAAGTTTTAGAGCAACTACCCCATATTTTTGAACAATAACAAAAAACTCTCTATCTGGGCAATTTTTCTACTTTAGAAAAACACTTATGGAATAAGACCAGCTAAGTCAATCCTGACTGTCTCTGAGATAAAAGAGTAAGCAGGTTGAGGGGTCTCAAGTCCAATCTTGTATGAATAAAGTAAGCACCAGGAAGTATAGGTGTCATCTTCTAAGGGAAATATTCTGCAACATAAAAAACAAAGATCAGGATGGACCTTTGCCCCAATAACATAATTTAAAAGTAAAACTAGAAAGATATTTAATTATTCTAATTATGCCAACAAGTCTGTAAAAATATCATAGGTAACACACTTATTTTATTAAAATATTCCTGTCAAAATGTCCACCAATTTAACATACCAAAAAGAAGTGTTCTTTTGGTTAGAGCTATCATTAGCCTTTACTTTCCACCTCAGTTACTTGTCAAATACTAAAATGCACTACAACTTCATGAAGTACTCTGGGAAACCATTAAATTCTCTACAGAAAAAGAAAATCATTCTTACGAAAACCAAGAACATGTCACTATGAACAAAATATAGCAGGTATGAAAATAAAGCCATTATTTTTCATGAATTTTCCTACTGCAAAGGAAGAGGTAGTTGTGAAAGGCTTGATTCACAATTAAAATTATGTCATAATTTTTCTCTTTCTTCACTCTTTACTGTTAGTTGCCTCAAAACTGACCTGCGGGTCTGGCAGCATAAATCCATCAGTGAGTTTATAATAGACTATTGTGGAATCGGACTCCACTATGGCCAGAGTAAAAGACATCGGCAAATCTGGATCACCTTGCAATTTCCGAGATGCCTTCAAGATCTCCCTTATCCTGAAAAGCAAGCCATAATGCATTTAGGATTCACACAGTCACTCATTCATAAGATCAAATAATATAAAATCTTGGGCAAGAGGCAGGCAATCATCACATTATATCTATAATGCTGACTTGGGAAATGTCTGAAAGCTCAAATATAAACATTTAAAGTTGTCTTCTCACACAGAAAATCCTGCAGGGAAGGGTTGTCCGGACTTTCAATCCTTCCCTTTTTCATTCGCCCATCTCTCCCGATCATCAGACCTGAAAGTCAAACTATATTTAGGAACCTACCGAACAGGACTCCAAAAGTGAGTGTGTAGTGCATCTGAACTGACTAAGGATCATGAGTGTTCATTTTCCAATTTTCCTCTTACAAGTGAAATAATCTTGTATTGAGGTTTTTTAAAAAACAGACTGTAATAAATATTTCCCTTGCTGTGTTTATAATTACTACTTTTAAATGGCTGTGTAATATTTTATTCACTCATAATTTGCCCAATCATTCCCTTATTGCTATAAAGTTCTTCCAGGTTTTGTGGGGGTGAATGTGCTAATAAAAATGAGCTGTAAAGATCATCTTTCTGAAGGTAATTGTTTCTTTTTAAATATTTGTTGGGTTTTTCCAAGTATTGGAATTATTAGGTCTGAATATAGATATTTTTATGGTTCTCAATATGTGTTCTGATATTGAGCCAAGAGAAAAATAGAGAGAAAAATAACACTTTTGGGGGTAACATTATGTATCATGCAATCAATGTTATACCTTATTTCAGTTTGCTTACTGTGGAAAATAATTTATCAAATCTGATATTTAGGCACTATTATCTTTTGTTTACCACCAACTGAAAATCCTTATTATGTACTCAAAAAAACCCATGTTCAAAATTCAGTAAATGTAACCTCAAAAGGTGGTTTCTTTAAAAGGCAAATAAAAAATGATTACTTGTCTTTCGCTAACCTAACCAAGTCTCCAAAGATTGGAAAAAGATTTACTAGCATATTAACAGCAAAACACTGTATTGTATTTAGTAAAAGTATAATTTGTCCCCTTAAGTTCTACTTCCCATCCTTAAGTAAAAATTATTATGGTCACTCTTCTCCCATCCTATTAGCTATTGAAACTACAAAAAAAAAAAAAAAATCTTAAGAGAAAAATCTATGCTTTGAAATATTCTTACTATAATAATTATAATGCTTTTTAAAAAATCTGTAGTAAAGACTGGAGGTTTTAAGTGATTTAAAACAGCAGTAAACTGTTAAAACAGCAGTTAAAAAAAAAAAAAGCTGAAGTTCTAACTGGTTTGTTAGAATATCAGTCACAAAAGACTACTTACCTGCTACCTATTATTTAAGTTTACAAAGGCATGAAGTGAGATGAGAGGGTGAGTTTCTGAATTTGTTCCCTCATATTCAAACAATTTCTAAAATGACTCTGAAAGAGGTAAGCCAGCAATTTAGTAACACTCCAATTGTCAAGTATAACTCACTAGAAAATAAAATATGTGTACCTGGCAAAATTTTAATTCCTTTCCAGGAGTCAATAAAGCAAAGCATCATCTTCTCTCAAGTCTTTCCTGTCACCTTTCCCCAACCTCTAGGCAAAGTTACATGTCTCACCCTACAGAGACACCCTGTGTAGCCTACCTTACTGTAATCACTGCTTTGAATTTATAGATCTCAGGGTCTGTTTCCCACTGGGTTGTACTCATTTTGAGGGTCAAAGCTTTTCAAGAAATGATGCTGTAACATGAAGACAATATACCTGTACATCTACACACATGACTATTGAGGTGGCATACACGAAAAGGCTTTACAAACTGTCAAGTAGTCAGCAAGTACAAGTATTACTATATGGTATCTATACCAGCTTTGCTACCTTGAAAATTGGGACATGTTTTTATCCACACCATCCTTAAAAAATGATTTCTAACTATGTTAAATTACATGAACATCAATTAGATTCCACTTCATTTCAGAATTTTTCTTTAGAGATACTCAGATGAAGTAACCATAGATATTAACTGGCAACATCAATACTTAGCACTGATGAAAAATGACAGTCTTGAGACACTGCAGTACACACAAGTTAAAAATAAGTTTCTTTAAACATCCCAAACTGGCAGAGTGTGACGAGGATGGGACACAGATGGAAGGGAAAAAACCTATTAAGAAAACTGTTACATATCTTCCGTTTTTCAAGATATGATACTTAAATCAGAATGTATGTGTATGTGTTTTGTAAGGTAAACTGTGTGGAAATTCTAGCCCATATATTGAAATTTAGAATAGAAATTTCCATCCCATTCATATTTGTTTTCATAGTTCTTTGATATAAACAGCAAAACATTTTCTGACTTACTCAGAACACCCATGTGGGAAACCCTAACATCTGAAAATTAGCTCAGACTTGTAAAGCCTGGTTTGTCTCCAGAGCTGAGGGGAGTCACTGTTAAAAATGAAGTGGAAGTTCCCATCCCTGAGCTGTTTATCCTGTCTGGGTGTATGGGAAGGAAGAAGGAAATTACAATTTGAAATCATAATTTAGACACCATAGAATGAAGTTTCCTCAGAGGCACATTTTTAAAAAAGCCTAGTTCTTTAAAAAGTATTGTAAAGATGTTTCACCATAATAAATATTGTTATAAAATAATAATTTCAATAATAAAATTGCTTATAGTTCATATTTTATGTAAATCCACATATGAAAAACATAACTTATATAATGAGAATTTCATATTTTTGAGTGAATTATATTTCAAGGGAAAACCCCACCTGAAGAAATAGATGTCAATAACAATTGTAATTGCTGTTCAACAGTAACAGAATTTGATGTTTGCAACAGTTATGATGTTCTTTCTCATAACTAACAGTTACAAACAATAACAGTTCTGATGTTATCATAACTGTTCAGAGGGGAGCTCGGCATACAAATGGGAGCTCAGTAAACAAAGAGATCCCAAAGTTTACTAAAGTTAACTTGACAACAAGTCTGAGGCAGTCAGGCAACATCATTTGGCTACTGCCCTTCCTCTAAATGAAGCAAATGCCTTCCAGAAATCTCAGCATTCATCTTTCTGTAAGATCCTCCAACAGAGGCTACGTGATCTCTAGAGATTTACACAGAGGACAGAAAGTTGAAGGCAACATTACTGACTACTTTTAACTTGAAATGTGGTTGCAACAGAATGCATCATGGGTTAAAATTATTAATTTCAACCCACAGAAAGTGGTATCTCTTCTTCTGCCCTTCAATGTGACCAAACTGGCACTCATCAATTACAGGCATTAAGTCCTTAATCTGCCTCATTATGATACTTTAGAACGACACTCCACAATCCAACTCTGGAACACAATGCAAACTTAAATTGGTGCCCGAGGTGGCCAAGAAGCTGTATTCATCCACAGGCTCAATCCTGAAGGAAGGTTCAAGAATAACAGACCACCTCCTTGGGAATCGTGCCAAGCACTGCCTGGTAAAAAAGCAAGGTGGCTTAAATCCCAAGGTGGCGGGGTTACTAAACAATTAAGTGCCTGTGTGACTATCCACTCCAGTGGGGAGCCATCCTGTTAATATAAATGGTAAGCGTGTGTGTGTGTGTGTGTGTGTGTGTGTGTGTGTATGCGTGTGTGTGGAGGGTAAGAGAAAAAATGCTGAGTCTGTTAAAAGAAGCTGCCAGAATTGGGGGTTCACCAGTAACAGACTCCCAACAGAGGTAATATGAGGACACACATCAGATATGAAGGGAAGTCAAATGACAGAAATCATTTTACCAGTTATTAAACTTTAGGCCTCACATAAACTAATGGCCATTAAATGAATCTGTAATAAAGAACATACTTTTGAAGAATGGAAATATTTTTCAATTACAGGGGAATAGAGTATCCTTCAAAAATATTGTAGCAATGTCCTGGGGGGAGGGAGTGGCTGGGGAGGAGTCAATGGGGAACAAAGGAGACATATGTAATACTTTAAACAATAAAAAATTATATATATTACATGCTACTATATATATATGTCAGGATTAAATCTCATAATAAAGAACATCTTTTAAAACGTTCTAAATATAGTTAATACTATTATTGCATAATTGAAAGTTGCTGAGTATTAAAAGTTCTTATCACAAAAAAACCTTTTTTTAAAATTCTGTAAGGTAATGATATTAACTAGGCTTACTGTGTTGATCATTTTCAATGTATACAAACGATGACACTATTTTACACCTGCAACTAATATGTTATATGTCAATTAAATTTTTTAAAATGTTCTAAAGAAAGTCAGTTCTAGTTACCCTTCACTCTACCATTAGTAAGTCTTTTTCCCAGGGCACTAAGGGAAAAAAAAGGATTAAAGGTAGGGGGTGGATATGATGAAAAAGTTTCACTAAATTAGTAAGGTGGCATTGTGATGGTTCTCTATCCTCAGATCAGCATAAAGTGTGAAAGCAGTGCTAAATCTGGAAGCAAATGGATTTTGCAGACATTCTAATTTTTAGAAACTCTTGGAAGATTGCTTGTGCATATTCTATGTTTTTTAAGATTTTATTTAGCAAATCTCCACTGCAGGAACTTAGTGGTTTAAGAGAGCTTATTCAGTCATTCAACAAACACAGATTTTAATAGCAAGTAACAGATACCAGGCTACGCACTGCGGAAACAGCAATGAGCAGAACAAAATTCCTGCTTTCATGAAGGTTATTTTCAAAAAGGGAAAGGAAGATAGCAAACAATCAAAGAAAACCAATTATCTATTGAATAGCAATAAATGTGATAAATGTTATAAAGGAGGGCTACTTATTTGCAATACTATGGCCAAGAGTCCTGATCAAACCAAATGACAAAAGTTCTTAGATGTTTAGCCTAATGGCTGCTGAATTAGCAGATGACCAATTTGGTAAATGGCATATTGAAGCCTTTTTCTAAATTTCTACAATAATATTCAAATAGGAAGATGCTAAGAAATAGTACATTTGGAAAAGTTTTCTCAGATAACATGGCTGAGGGTACCCATTTATCACCAGAAACCAAGAGAAATGCCACTAATTTGTGGGGTTGGAGGATAAAGTGGTCACTGGAGAGGCTCCACCCTCACATAAGCTATCCATTATCCTTCGCTGGCACCAGGGTGAAAGAGCCCTTTATAATCCAGTCAGTTTTAGCAGGATGAATAATTCATTGGTGTTACTAAGCAAAAAGAGAGAGAAAGAGAGAGAGAGAGAGAGAGAGAGAGAGAGAGAGAGAGAGAGAGAGAGAGAGAGAGAGAGAGGAGAGAGAGTTATAGATCATTTCAAAAATAATATATTAACTGTCTCGGGATTTTGTAATTTATAAAAGACTTCACTTGGCTTTTTATTTTTTAAATTTTTATTGATTTCACAGAGGAAAGGAGAGGGAAAGAGAGATAGAAACATCATTGATGAGAATCACTGATTTCCCTATTAGGAATCAAGCCTGCAACCCAGGCACATGCGCTTGACAGGAATCAAACCTGGGACCCTTCAGTCTGCTGGCCAGAGCTCTATCCACTGTGCCAAACCGGCTAGAGCTTCATTCGGCTTTTTAAAAATTAACTTATATACAAACATAGATAAGCTTAAAATACAGCTACTGTGATTTTAGTGTTCAGCATCTTATATTTTACCAAAGAAACTGAATTGACCTTGAAATTGGGAGACAATATAGATTCTATGGGGGGGGGGGGGGGGGAACAGTAGTGGAAAACAAACCTTTTTTTTATTATTTTGTCATTGTGTAAATAACTTAAGATATTTTCCCATTTATAACTATCCACAATATTAATATTACAGAAACCTGAAATTTTATTATCATAACTTTGTTGTAATATACTTCTCAACAAATATCAGTGCAAAATGTTCCAGAAGAAGCTCATCAAGCCCTCTGAATACTAATGTGACTTCATTTGCTATCTTAGCACTGAAAAAGGCCCCTGGCTTTCCTTGGGATTCCTCTAGTTATCTCATCTTTAAACTTAGCAGATCTCTTGACCTCTGTGAAATTATTAATATGATTTTTATACCATTGCTGGGTCTGGGGAAATCAGAGTATTCATGACCTTTACAGTCATTTACCAAAATTGCTACATGGATTCTCAGATTCATGTTAGTAAGAAACGATCTATAGAGTACTTTCCATATGCATTTATAATCCAAATATATAACGTAATATAGTATTTTTAAATGTGAGCTAAAAATTATTTTACATAGCATTCAGTAGTATTTTCATTTTTTAAAATATATTTTATTGATTTCAGAGAAGAAGGGAAAGGGACAGATAGAAACATCAATGATGAGAGAGAATATCCATTAGCTGCCTCCTGCATGCCCCCTACTGGGGATCGAGCCTGCCACCTGGGCATGTGCCCCTACCAGGAATGGAACTGTCCAACTGTGACTTCCTGGTTCCTAGGGGACACTCAATCACTGAGCCAAACTGGTTGGGCTAAGCAGTAGTTTTAGATAAGAGAAAAAGATGTGTCCTGTTCTTTGAGAAACAAAAACAACCTCATACTCCATCAGCATAATTTTCCCACTAGATAATCAGATATGGGTACTTTACAAATTCTATTTCCCTCCTGGAGATCAGCAATTTTTTCAATCAATATTTTCACAAGCACTGGCGGGTGTAGGTACCAGAGTCGAGTCTGTAATTCTTCTCCTATCTCAGTACTGACAAGGCAGATGAGCTGAGGATCTGGTAATCCCACTCATTTTACTTCTCACCAACTTTTACTTGAAGACCTTCTGAAACTTTGAAAATATGCCAAAGTGTTTTACTATGAACATATATTATGTATAAGAAAATACCAGTCACAACTACTTTTGCTCAGAGTAGTGCATTCAGATTCACTCTGTAATGGAATTTGTCTGCACTCTTGCCAAAACTATGTAAATAAGATCACCAGGTCCAAAGCCTGGAAAACTTAAGTGGGAAATGGATACAAAAACTGTAGGGGAGCTTAGAAATTCAGATAGATATGGCATCAGATGTTACCTAGAATTGCTACCTTTTAAGGAGTTGGCAAATACACATACACCATAAAATAAATAATGGAAATAATAAGCTAATGCGAATATCCTATCTAATAAAGAGGGAATATGCTAATTGAACATCACTCCATCACAAAGATGGCTGCACCCACAGCTGAGGCCAAGTTCCCATAAGGAGCTTTAATGAGCACTCAGCAGGAAACTGAGGCTACGCCCTCCCCCACCTCCATGGGGCTTGACAGGGAACTTCAGGTTGTGTCCAGGACCCTGGCACCAGGCTGGGGCACCTCAGATCGCACCCCCCACCTGCTGGGGCTTGACAGAGGACCTCAGGCTGTGCCCCCCTCCCAGTGCTGGGCCGGGGGACCTGAGGCTATGCCCCCTGACTGGCAGGGCTTGTCGGGTCTGGATCTAACCCAATGGGGGGAGGGTGGGCCGGGTCTGGGTCTCACGTGATTTTGAGGCGTATGTCAGTAGGCAGGGACTTGACTCTAGGTCCCGTAGTGTGCCCCAGACTTTGACAGGAGGAAGGTTTTCATATACATTTTACTAATTTTCTTTAATCTCTGACACTTCTCTTATAGAGAAAGGGCAAGTAGCAATATTAGATTATTTCCTCTAATTAATCCCTTTTAATGTGCACGAATGTTGTGTACCAGGTCACGTGTGTGTGTGTGTGTGTGTGTGTGTGTGTGTGTGTGTGTGTGTGTGATTCTGTCTCTCAATAGTCAAGATAGCTATTGAAGTGGTTTTAAAAGATAAATGAGATTATTTAATGTTGTGACTGGGAAACTATCTTATGACTAAGTTGTAGTTAACTATGTAAATGACAGAGCTTAGTCCAGTTTTACAAGTTGAGACTTTAAGAAAGGGGACAGCTATCATGCCTTATATGCTACATGCCCTGTGTAAATAACATGGAATTACACCTCCAGCAAAATGTCAACTCTTCTGGCTCTCAGATTTTGTATATCACCCAGAATCCCTAGTCATAAAAATCTTATTTAACATTTTTGAGGAATAAAGAGCATTAAAAAAATCCCCACTAAACACAGATAGCTAAGCAGGATCATCTAGGATAGCAATTTACAACTGGTGTGCTCAGACTAGTTGTGCAGTATATGATAACAATTTGCTTCTAACAATGAAGTACCAAAGTTGGCATGTTACTTTTAATATAAAATTAATTGATATCATTTAATATTCCCTGTTACATATCATCACTGTCATCCATTCACATTCCACCATGCTTTATTAAATTGAGATGAAAGTGACATACAACACTGTATAAGTTTAAAGTGTACAATGTGATGAACTAACCTACTAAAGAGCAAAATCACCTGCCCACCTGTTATGGCTGAGGGAGGCATTGATGGACGTAGGCACCACAGTCTGTAGCCCTTCTCCTTCTATCTCAGTACCAACCAGGCAGATGAGCTGGAGGTCTGGCAATCCCACACAGTTTACTTCATGCCAACTTTTACCTGAAAGAGCATCATTAAATGGATAATGTTTATTTAAAAAAATCAGATAAAAATTCTAAACATCTGTCTAATATTCAGCTGAGCAAAGTCAGTTATAACGCTATCTTCTCTACATTTTTATTTATCTTCTCTTTTACTTATTTTGTTACCAAGTAATTCCCGCTATCAGTGATTGAAGAAATTACAAAATGGATAACAGCAAATGCATAAACAATGGCTTATGTCAATAATTCTATATCAAAATCCAACTCCCCAACCCTCCACCATGGCCCCGATAATAAAGCAATATAATAACTTACTCTCCATGAGGTCCAGGTAAACCAAGAATGCTATATAGACTTGAGTAGCATCTCCTATATCTAATTCCATCATTTCTAAATACTGAAAATCAAAATATAATTGTTAGAGAAGGAAGAATCGCTTAATGTTTTATTTCACGCAACCAACTTTTATTAAATATATAGAAAGTATCAAACTCAATTCTAGGTATAGCAGGAGTTATAAGGCAATGTAAGACCTGATTCCTGACTCTAAAAAACCTGCAATTATTAGGGAAAACACATTGCACACCTGTACCTGTTAGGCAAATAACAATACATGACAGAAAATGGTTAAAAACCAAGTTAGTGGAATTAAAGAACCTTGATACAACAGGTCAGAAGAGCTATACTCCGGTGAATTGGTTTGTGAATGTTTTATGAGAGAGGGGAGATACAAATTGGGCCCTGAAGGACATGTATGATTTGACTAAATGAGAAGGTAGTGCAACAGTATAACTAATCATACAAAGGTGGGAATAAGCTACACATATTCCAGGGCCTATAAAGAAACCTATCTGCCAGAAGTAGACATTTTTAATAAGAATTTTGTTGGGGCATGTAGTGGGAGCCTCAATTCTCCTGGTCTCTTATTTGCATGTGGAGAAAGTCTAGTAGAATACCACTCATGGCCTCTCTCTCCTTCTCCCTCAAGAGCAGCCAGTTATTTAAATGCTAGATTTTAAAGAAAAGGCCAAGCAAGCTGCTGCTGCTTTTAGACTTACTGGTCAGCACTGTGGGAACATTCATCAGGAGTCTACTCCTGTAGGGGAAGCCTGAGATTCTCCAGCTACATCAGTGACTAGGCGGGTAAGCAAGACTAATGCACAAGTGAGGGATCAGCAGACCTGCACGGATGCATATCTGATATCACCTTCTCCTTTCAGCTTCATCGTAAGTGTACAAGTATAGGAGAACAGGGGTGTTATGAGCTGTCCTCCTCAAACCTTAAATGTGCTTGGACACAGCACTGAAAAAGTAATTGGGAACCAGGTTGCAAGGAATGGATGACCTGGCTAAAAGTTTGAATTTTACCCATATGGAAACACTTCTAAGCATGAGAGTAGGGTGAATGTGGTGTGTGAGGACAATAAATCTGATACCATGTTACTGGAAGGGCCTAAGTCATTTTCAAATTGAATAATAAAAAGGCAGTAGTAGAAAAATCAAACACCCAATATCTTTTCTTCGTTTAAAAAAAAAATTAGACCCTTCAAGAGGAAAAAAAAATCGAAAAGGAAGATTTGATGGTGAAGATTAGGGCCTATATGGCCATTAACTTCAAAGAGAAAAAAAAAAAATCTGCCAGTATAAAAACTGAGTAGCACCACCAAATGTAAAGGTTTTTAAAACTTGTTACTGGCGTTTCACTTCTTCCTTACACAGTGCTTGCTTACTACATGTCAAGTTCTTCCCAAATAGTAACTGATTTAATCCTATGAGACAAGTACCCTTATTATCCCCATTTTACAGATGAGAAAACCTAAGTGCAATGAGATTAAACAATTTGCCCCAAATCACAAAGCTGGTGAAGGAACCAGGATTCAAACTCAGGAGATGTGTCTTTGAGTTCATGCTCCTAACCACTGTACTGCCACCCTTCTTTTTAGGGCGCTGAATAACAGCTCCATGTTCGCGTTTGTTTTTCTCACATTGAAGGGGGAATGAGGGGACAGAGCAGCAAGATAAAATTAAGCAAGGTAAAATGAGACTTTTATCTTCAAAATTTTTCTTTTCTTGACTTTTTATTTTAATGTTTTAAAAATATTTTTTATTGACTTCAGAGAGGAAGGAAGAGGGGGAAGGAGAGAGGAGAGAGGAGAAAGAGAGAGAGAGAGAGAGAGAGAGAGAGAGAGAGAGAGAGAGAGCGCGCGCGCGAGCGAGAGAGAGAGAAACATCAATGATCAGAGAATCACTGGTGGGCTGCCTCTTACACGCCATCGCCGCCCCACACTGGGGATGGAGCCCGAAACCCAGGCATGTGCCTTGACTGGGAATGGAACCATGACCTCCTGGTTCATAGGTCAACACTCAACCACTGAGCCACAGGGGCCAGGCTCTTGACTGTTTTTAGAAGATTACTTACGAAATATTGCAATGCAGCAGAAGACTGCAATTCTACCAGTTACTAGACCAGCCCCTGAGATTCCTACCCCCTACCCACCCCCCATCTCCATTACATGTCTACTCACTGCTTGGGGCATTACTGATACAAGCAGCAATTTGCCAAGCAGAAGCAAGCAAGGAATTGTCTTTCTCCTCCTGAAAAATACAACCACCAAGTGCACAGTTCTGCCTTTGGGAAGAACCTATTCAACTTTCCAAGAAACCCAAAGAATTTAGGAATCTGCACTGCAGGCAAAATCAAGACGCACGCTTTGGGCCCAAGACTGAGTGCCTACACCTTTACCAGGACTGACTCCAGGCCTTATCCACTGCCCATAGGCCGTGTTTTGCGTGATTAGTGTGAGGATTAAGTGAGACCATCACCAGGGGAGTGGCTAGCATTGATATCCCGCGTGGGAGGGGCGGGTATGTCTACCCCGCGGGTTTGGAAGGGCAAAGTGGGGTGGGGTTGGGGTGTGGGTTAGTGTCAGGGCAAGAGATCAACTCATTGAAACAAACGAAAACAACATTGCTGCTGTTGGCAGTGTGCACAGGGGTACCCCTACAGTGAGGGTCGTGCAAGAGGGTCCGGAGGGGAGCGCGGCCTGGGAGGTTCCTCCTGGGCTGGGGGCCTGGTCAGGCGCCCCGCTCCTTTCTCGCCTCCTGACCTTTGGGTGGGTGGCCATCCATGCGTCCTCCGGGGCCCATGGAGGGGCGCCATCACCGTCGCCGGGAGCGCCGCCCGGGTCCTGGGCGCTGCAGCCCGGGGTGGGCTCGGAATCGCCGAGTGCCTCCATGCCAGGCACACCGAGTCCCTACAAGCCGGGCACGGATGCAAGCGCGCCAGCTGTGCACCGCGCCAGCGCCCGGCCGGAAGCAGGGACGCGCGCACGAGGGTTCCGCCTCCCGCCGCCCGCCGCCTCCAGGCAGGAGGGCTCCGTCCTGGGAGCAAAGTTAAAACAGCCCCGCCTTCCAACAAAGGGAGCTGGAACCTGCATGGAGTTTCCTCTCGTTTTTTGCTCTGCGTTTATTCAAATCGGGGCAGAAACTAGAGTGAATAAGTTGCCTTACACCAGTGCTGTTTGCAGCTCTGTGGAGAAAGAAGGGACTAACATATAAGATCCCTCTTTGCTTTCAGCATTGGGTCCAGGTCTGCAGCTCCTGGGAACAGGAAAAGCCCCATGCAGTATCATGTAAGCTTCAAGTGTGGAAGTGGGTGAAATTTCTATCGAAGAAAGTGGAAAGAGGAAAAACCAGAGTACCAAGAACCGTATTTTTAGGGTGGATCCAGCTTTTGGGATGAGAGGAGCAAGAGTAAACAGGATTTGTTGAATGAGTGGTCAGGAAAGTCAGATGCAAACAGCACAGACATGGGACCAGGAAGCCAAGGATGAGGAGTTTCAAACAGGCAGGGTGGGGCATTGTGAGCATTTATAGATTTACTCTGAGTGAAATGGGGAGACACTGGAAGTTGCTCTTAATGTTAATAGTATTCCCCTGGCTGATGTGTTGAGAATAGACCTTAGCGGGCAAGGGTAGGCACAGGGAATGGTTAGGAGGATATTGCATTGACCTAGGCAAGGAATGACTCTCTCAAGATTGAAAAGTCCCAGGTAGCGATAGAACCTCTGAGTCCAAATATGACAAAGATCCTACTGGACTTTCCTACTTTCTAGTAGAAAACACCTGTAAAACTTGGACATCATACAAAAGGCAACCACCTGAATACACTGGAATACCAAAGAAGCAGGCTGACTTTGGTAGGAAGGGCAACTTGCTTGGAGGTGGGCTGATGAGGAACTATACAAGAAAGTTCCCTTTCCTTGGCATTTAGGTTATGGCTAAGTGCAGTCCAGGAGGCAGGTTCCACATTAGCCAGGGTTCACGTGGAAAACCTCTCCAGTTTTCTTATCTGGGGAGCCAGGACAATGAAGGCAGGAGATTTGAATGCATGAGAAATGAGGAAATCCCAGAAGGGAAAACCAAAGAGGGTATCCCCAAGATCTCTCTGCTCAGGTTTCTGGTAGATCCTGAACCACTCAAAACAGAATCACAGATGATCTGAACTGCGACCAGAGCTGTCCCCAAGAAACAGAGTTTGCAGTTCTAATCCAGCCAAGAAAATTATCTACCAACACAGAGGAAGTAACATTCATCATAGAAAAACAATAGAATCCAAAACCTCCACAATTCATCATTCATAAAGTCCAAGGTATGATTCAAAATTACTGACATATAAAAATAAAGAAAATGGACCACATTTTCTAGAGTCCAACCCTGAGATGAATCAGATGTTGAAAATGACAGGTAAGGATTTGAAATTAATTATTATAACTATCCTAAATAAACTAAAATGTGTTTTCAGTGAAGGAGAATTTCAAGGGACAAATAGAAGAACTCCGCAGAGAAAAAGAAAAAAGAAAAAAAAAGAAATTCTGGAACAGAAAATTAAAATTTCAGAAATAAAAAAATTCCACCGGATAGAATTAACAGCCAAATTACAAAAGGGATCAAAGTGAACTTGAAGGTAGAGGAATGGGAATCACCCAAAATGAACAACACGGAGAAAATGATTTTTTAAAAAATAAATAGAGGCTACTACATGATATCTAACAATCCAACATACATATAAGTAGAATACCAGATGGAGAAAAGAAAGGGAATAGGGCAAGAAAATTTTTGAAGAAAAAAAAATTTCCCCCAAATTTGATGAAATAAATTTGTAGCTACAGAGTGCTAAATGACCACCATGTAAAATAAACATAACCACATCCACTCTGAAATTAAACTGTTGAAAGTCTGATGTAATTTTAAATGTGTCAAAAGAAATGCAATATATTACATGCATAGACAAGAAGTGCATCTATTCCTGAATTTGATGTAAAGCCACACATGAAGATTCATAAGTTTTCCTAGAAAGTATTGCATTGAATTATCATTAACCTTTGTCTCCATGAAGCAACTGCTAAGCCCTGAAGAAGCAAATGGCCCTGAAATTAGTAGGCTCTTTGAAGCACTGACATTGATGATAATTCAAGTAATTAGAAGTGAATAAACATTTCTCTCTGACCTCTAAAGACCCCCGTCAGTTCATATGATGGTATTTATAGAAGTATTAAGGGCATTTTGTTCCTAATGTGAATTGAGGGGAAATTTTATAAATTAGTAAGGAGATCCAATCAAATTTAGGTGCTATGTGGACACAGCTCAACCATCTTCAGGGGAAATTTTTCAGCTTAAGCTTAAAAATAAATAAATAAATAAATAAATAAATAAATAAATGGTGGGGTGGGGGTAGGGAATCCCAGAAGGATGCAGAAAGAACTGTAAACTGAAAAAACAACAGACTAATGGTACTTTTTGGCAAATAGATGATATTACATTACCAAAAAAGCATGATATATTTAAGCGTGCATATTAAATGCTTCTGGCTTTTCATGTCTATTAAAAAGAGTTGAAGAATGAAATGGAATGTCTCTTAACTTTCATATTAAAAGCAATAGACATTTATAAATAAGTCTTGATGATTAGGACTAGCCAAGAAAGAAAGTATATTTAGGAATACAAATACAACCTAGTATTTGAAGTCCTAGAATCAAAACGATTATTGTGGCAATCTAGGGTGAAATCCACAGAGAACAGGTTAGAGTTTCAGCTTTTGACAGACTGTAGGATTTCTCCTTTTATAACTGCTTTCGTAGTTCACTATATTAGGGTCAGAGTGGTTAGGAAAAAAGCTAGGTAAGTAACAACAGTAAATCCCCCTGAGTATACCGGTGTGATCAAATTCTATGTAATCTGGCACTTGCTCTACTGATTTCCCATCTTGATGTCTGAGCCAGACCACTTACTCGCACACAAAAAAAGTCTCTATTGTCTAGGCAGAGACATATTAATTCAGTTAGTCTCGGGAGAAAAAACAAACTTTGAACTGTAATGTGAATTTTTAGTGTATGAAAAAGAAATGTCTTTTCAATTTCAAACAAATGTGTACAAGCTTAAAATTTATTCCCATATCTCAATTAAGAAGACTAGATGCATCAAATTGTATCCACTCATTTGTTCCAACATAAACTTAGTGTCTACCATGTGCCAAGACACAGGGAAGGAAAATACATGGATAATTAATATGTAACATATGAACAAATAAATATAATAAAGTGGTATGTGTTATGGTGGAAGAGGAGGATAAGAATGGTGTAAAGACAGAAAATACTCTTTATATAAATGCCTTTTATTTTAGTAGTATGTTTTACGAGAAGAACAGAAGTCACCGGAGAATGGAGAGGTTGTTTAGGGTTATAAGGAGACACAGATTTGAAGGATAGAAAAGGAAAGCTAGCAGAGGACGGACTTGAGTTTTTATCTTGAAGGACAGGATAGAGAGAACCAGTTGAAGATTTGGTAGAGTGAAGCTAAATGGGGGGGAAAAGTATGGAGTTTTCTCAAAAATTAAAAACCGGTCCATCTGGTGTGGCTCAGTAGTTGTGCATCTACCTATAAACCAGGAGGTCACAGTTTGATTCCTGGTCAGGGAACATGCCCGGTTGCAGGCTTGATCCCCAGTAGGGAGTGTGCATGAGGTAGCCAATTGATGATTCTTTCTTATCAATGATGTTTCTATCTCTCTCTCCTTCTCCCTTTTTCTCTGAAATCAAGAAAAATATATTTAAAACCCCTAGCAATCCTACTTCTGGGCAATATATCCTAAGAATCCCGAAATGCCAGTCAGAAAGAACATGTTCACAGCAGCATAATTTCCAATACTAGCTAAGATCTGGAAACAGCCCAAGTCCCCATCAGTAGGTAGATGAGTGGATTAAAAAAAGCTGTGATTCATTTACACCACAGGTGTCAAACACAAGGCCCGCGGGCCAAATCCGTCCCGCCAGGCCTTGCAATGTGGCCCGCACCGCACTGTCATCACTGCACTCCGCTGCGTTTCCATCACAATGACAGTTTATGACTGTTCAGTAAACCATTCGGCCCGCGATTTAGGCTGGATTTTAGATTTTGGCCCCTTCTCTGATTGAGTTCGACACCCCTAATTTACACAATTGAATACTATTGGGCTGTAAAAAAGAAGGATCTCTTACTCTTTGTGAGAGCATGGAGGGACCTGGAAGATCTTGTGCTAAGCGAAATAAACCAGTCAGAGAAAGACAAACATCCCATGATCTCACTTATATGCAGAATCTAAGGAACAAAACACACAGACAAACAAAATAGGCCCAGAGACATGGATGCATGGAACAGACTGACAGAGCTCAGAGAGGGAGAAGGCTGATAGAGACCAAAAGAGATTAACCAAAGAACCTATTTGCATATATGCACAGCCCATAACACAGACCATAGTGTGGTGAAGGCCTGGGGTGGGGTGGGGATTGGATGGAGGGGTTCAAAGGGGGAGAGAATGAAGGACATATGTAATACTGTCAACACATAAAAAAATAAATCTAAAAACAAAATAAATTAAAAATAAAATAAACTAGTGGGAAGACGGTGGGACAGGGCTGAAGGCAAGTTGGGATGGGGGTTCATGAATGTGTGGTGGTACCAATCCACCCTGCACACCACTGATCAAAGCCTACACAGCCCCACAAAGGAGGGACTTCGGATTTCTTTACTGGCTTCTGTGTGTTGTTCCTTAACAAGGCAGCAGTGCATCCTAGCAATTTCCTTTTACCTGCTCATTGTGTTCTTCCTTCTTCCCCATATCTCCCGTCCTCCAAATGTATGGCGTTTTCCTTCTCTTGGTTAGTTTAGACCAGTGGTCGGCAAACTCATTAGCCAACAGAGCCAGATATCAACAGTACGATGATTGAAATTTCTTTGGAGAGCCACATTTTTTTTTTTTAAACTTAAACTTCTTCTAACGCCACTTCTTCAAAATAGTCTCGCCCAGCCGTGATATTTTATGGAAGAGCCACACTCAAGGGGCCAAAGAGCCGCATGAGGCTCGAGAGCCACAGTTTGCTGACCGTGGGTTTAGATTATCAGGGAAGAAGAAGGCCATCTAATGGCATCCCCTCTCTGGGGCTCTGTGGTCCCCGGGGGTTGGCAGGTAGAGTCGGGCTTCAGAACAGGTCCACAACCTGTCCTTTCCCTCCAGGGAGGTCCATCTGTCTGCAGAATTCTGCAAGTCTTCCAGCTTGGTCTACCCAGATCTGAGGTCTGCGCGGCGAAGAATCCACTTCCGGAGAACTTGAGCATATAAGTGAATGCCAGCAGCCTCCCTCGGGAGTTAAAGGATCCTTTATCATGGTCACGAAGAATCGGGTGGCTTTCCATTTTAGAACTCTACCCACTTAGTCAATAGGTGCATTATGAAGAACTGGACACATTGCATCACTGTGAAGGGCTTTGGACTGCGGTTTGCGAAAGCAGAATAAATTTTCTTGCAGTTGTACCGTTATGTGTACACACACACACACACACACACACACACACACACACACACTCTCACACGCCCATTGGCAGACAAGGCCACACCTCACGGCTCCGGGGGAAGCCACAGACCTCAGCTGTCCAGGCTGAGCCCGGCCGGGAGGAACTTTCCGCGGGACTGAGGACAAACAGCGCCCAGACAGACCGCCTGCCTGCGAGCCTGCGCCCCGGGAGAGCGCTGGCGGCCGCGGGTCCCGGGTGCGCCCCCGGCGGGAGGGTCCGGGGCAGCGGAGGTCGGTGCCGGCGTGCGCGCACCCCGAGCCCCGCGCACCCCCAGCCCCGCCAGCCGCACCTCGGGCTGGGCGCTCGCAGCAGCAGGTCCCCCGCCGCCCGCCCGGAACATGGCTGCGCGCCCCGCCGCCGGCCTCGCCTGCGCGCTGCTGCTCCTCTCCGCGGCTCTGCTCCGCGGCGGCTGCCGGGCGCGCTTCGCCGCCGAGGCGGACTCGGAGGACGACGAGGACCAGGAGGCGAGGGTTTTCCCCGAGTCGCCGCTGCAGAGACCCACGGTGCTGGTGGCCCTGCTGGCCCGCAACGCGGCGCGCGCGCTGCCCCTCTTCCTGGGCTGCCTGGAGCGGCTGGACTACCCCAAGAGCAGGATGGCCATCTGGTGAGCCGGCCGGCGGGGCCCGGGCCGCCCGCAGGGACCTGGGCGGGGGCCGCTGTGGGGCGCGGGGACCCCGGGGACCGAAGGGGAACGCGGTGCGCACACCCCCTCGCTGCCGGCGCGGTCCCCGGGCGGGCGGATCGCGGGGCCGGGCTGGGAAAGGACACCGGGTGGGTCCCTGTGCGCTAGGGGTGCTCACAGGAATAACCAGCCGCTCGGAGCTCCGGAGGGGGGTGAGGGTGGGGGTCTGGGCAGCCTCGTCCTTTCCCGGCAAGATTTTGGGGACACCCCACTCTAGTGCTAGTTTCTCTCCCTTTCCGCTCTCGAGGTTTCCTCTTTCCTCTCCCTGGAGGAAGGGGTTCAGGGTGTCCTCCCCTCCAACTCCAGATGTGTCTGGGAGGGTAACTGAGGCTGACAAGGGGGCTCCTGAAAGGCTGGGGTGGCGAAGAGTGCGCCGCCCTGGCTCCCAGGTGCTGGCCGGCCCCTGCTCCCTCCTCAGAGGCTCCCGGTTCTTGGGGTTGGGAGGGAGCAAAGAGGAGACCTGGACCCAGACCTTCAGCCCTGGTGGGACCCCTGTGCCTCCTCAACCACGCCAGCATCGCGGATCCTGTCTCCATTGAGCGCTCCAGAGGGTCCCTGCCTGTGCATCCTCTTGGGACTCATTCCCCGCCATGGGGCGCCCTGGAGGAGGCAAACAGCCAAATGTTGCAACCCTTAGCCCAGAGCTGCGGGTGGGCCTGGTTCCTGGGTTTGCTGCGGGGAGGGCCGGGGCATCCTTGGAGATGTCTGTCCAGCTCCAACTTTAGGAATGGGTCCGGTCCCACACCTTTGAAAAAAACCGCAGGTATCAGAGGGCGGGAAGTTGGTGGCCAGGTGAGCTGTTAAGGAGCCTGCGGAGGAAGGGATGCATGCTGGCCTGAGGTGATAAGGCAGCCAGGGGTACATGGACTAGAAGACAAACCCCAGTTCGCTCCGGAGGGAGCAGTTTCTATCTTATGCTGCTAAAGGGAGCTGTCCGCAGACAGAGTTTATCCTGGGAGCAGCGGTTGGGCAGAGAGAAATAAGGATGGATAACGCAGCAGCAGGAATTGGCAGCCAGAGGGTACCTGGTGGAGAGGGGCAGAGGTGAGAAAGCAAACACGAAGTATAGTGCAGCACTGTGCTGTACACTGCATCACTGTATACGCCCTCTAGACGTGACCGCCGCCACGGAGGAGAGCATGCTATGTGGCCGGTGGGAACGCTGGTGCAGCCAGGTTTCAAACCAGAAGGAAGTACTTTTTTTTTTTTTTTTTTTTTTTTTTTTTTTAACCACGTCAATCCCAAAAGGAAATTCCACAGCTGTCCGTTCCTAGATGCCTGTTGCAAAAGAGATGCTTTACTGTATGGTCTTTATGCATTGCTTAGTCTTAAAAAATGTTGCAATAGTTACTATTTAGAAGAGATACCATAGCCCTGTGTTACAAACGAAGAAACGGAGACTTGAATCAGTTCAAAGATTCCAAGTCGCAGAATTAATAAATGGTAGAGCTACGATTTGAACCCAACTGTGTCCCTAAACACTGCGCTAGGAAGGGAGTAGTGGGAATAAGACACTAGAAGCAAAAGTTATATAAGCCTATCAGCTGCAAAGTAGGAAATGTGAGTTGTCGATCACTAACTTGATATGTGATATCGGAACAGTTTCTTGGGAGCCATAGACATTAGTTTCCTTAGTTAAAATAATGGAATGGGACTGCATTTGAAATTCGGATTTCAGAAGTCCTTTCTGGCTCTTGAATTACCTACATTTTACGATGTGATCAGAATTGACCAACAACAATTGTACTTCCTAGGTCTCTGAATAATCCAGGTTCTACTGACTTTGGTATTCTGTTTAGATGGGTAGTTTCCCAATTCTGCATAGATCTTTGGGGTTTATATATTCCTTACTCTCATTCATGGTCCATGTAAGTACTTTGTCCTTTATGGCCATTGTTGGAAAGTTAAGGAAGAAACCCAAGGTTTGGGTAAGGCCTTGGTCAACCCATGGGTTAGCCACTAAAAACTTTTTTTTAGTCCTAGCTTAGAACCCTTATAGCATTTATTAGATAACAGTAACCAAAATTGGCAGCTTTAAGTAGTACTTTACAGCTCTCAGAGTACTTTCATCAGCTATGTTATCTTATTTGATCCTGACTGTCATTCTGTAAAGAACTAAAATTATCTGTATTTTATAGAACTCATTCTGTTAAAAGTAACTGACTTAGGGTTACATTTTTTTTATTAATTTCACAAACACTTAATGCTAAGAGCTCACAGTTTTTCTAAGCACCTTACATTCACTTTCTAGTTTAATATCCATAAAAACCCTATAAAGACCTATCAGGTGTGTACTGTATTATATACCCTTTTACGGGTGAGAAAACGGAGCCACCGAGAGGTTGTACCAGCACATGTTCCTAATGACTTTGTGTGTGTGTGTGTGTGTGTGTGTGTATGTGTGTGTGTTTTGTGAGAATCAGGCACTATGCCAAATTTGGGCCAGTTGGACTGAGAAAAGTTGAATTAGATGTGGCTCCTTATAGACGAATATTGCTTTTTCTTTTTCCTTTCTTAAATATATTTTTCATTGATTTCAGAGAGGAATGGAGAGGGAGAGAGAGAGAGATAGAAACATCAATGATGAGAGAGAATCATTGATTGTCTGCCTCTTGCATGCATCCTACAGGGGATCGAGCCCGAAACCCAAGCATGTGCTTTTGACTGGAATTGAACCTGGGACTCTTCAAGCCTGCAAGTTGACACTCTGTCCACTGAGCCAAACCAGCTAGGGCTTTTCTTTCTTCTATTTTCTGGGCAGTGTAAGGTCATCTGAATGGCATTTACAGGATGTAGGGGAGTGACAAAGGACTTCTAAGTCAGATTGGGACAGATGTCTGAATATGAAAGACTTCTTGAGGAGTTGACACTTTGTTTGAACTCAATTTAAAAGGACAAATAGGAATCTACTAAAACCTGGGATGGGAGGGAAGGAGGTTTGCAGAAAGAGGGAACAGGGAGACAAGAGAACAAAAGGCACTGGGACATTAACCCAAATTTACTGTCAGGGAAATAATATGGGCGGCAGGTCTACTGACTTCAAACCTCCCAACTCATCGCCTTGTATCACCAGAGCTGCTACCTTTGCGAATGGCCCGTGGAAAGTATTTGGCTGGGAAGATTATGGAATATAACCCTCTAGGAAGAGGTGGTACCTAAGTTTAGGTCTTCAGCCAATTGCTTACCTCTAGTCTCTCTGTCCTAACTCTACTCAACATTCTGAGATGCCAAGCTGGTTAGTATTCACTCTGCAAAGCCAGCATATGCTGCTGTCAAAAGCAGTCAGTGTCAAAAATGGCTGTGAGCTACCCAGAACTGTACAAAATAGAACCCTGTTGAGTACAGAGTCTGGGTGCCAGCTTCCAAGGAGTCCTGCTTCTCATTCATCTACTTACCTCTAACCATGACCAGAGAGCACCTGATAAGGCATCTTTCCTGTATGGATAATTGAGAGGCCTCGCTCACTAATCACATTCAGACTTCTCAGTGATAGGATTTTTTTTTTTTTTTCTTACCTAAAGTTCTGGACCAGGGCTGCACGGCCCATCCAGGTGGAATGAGGTCAACACATTGACCTGAAAACTTCTGCCATCAGAGAATGAGCGCCAATATCTCAGCATCAGGTTTGTTCAGATTAGGTTGAACAAAGGCAAGTTTATATTTTTGAGATACTTTGTACCAGCAAAAAGGAAAATTTGTCCCATGTACCCATCTGAAAACCCCAACAAGCTAATGGTTTTCCTTCAAATTGGCACAGCTTTGTGGTATGGATCTAAGGAGAGTACCCCTTGTGTTCTAATTCCATCCGGCACTGAGTGTGTGGGAATCGCTGCTGTGCTGAGATGCAGGGAGCTGGAGGCATTGTGACATGTGGCGGTAGACTTGGGTGGCTTCTCTTTAATTCAGTGGAGCCATGCACAGTGGCCTTAGCCATGGAGGGAAGGCTGAACTCATCCCTCTTCCAAACCTGTGATTAAGGGGAGCAGTGCCAAGTTCCATGATCATGAAAAGTGGATTGGGGCACAAGGAAAAACATTTGACCAAAAGATACATTAAGTTTGTCTTTTGGAGAGCCTGCTATTGTCCTTAGGAAGGCGGCTAGGGTTCGCAGAGTCTGTACAAATCACAAGGCTGTAACTGCCATGTAATTACAGAACCATTTGGGCATTTCACTTGGTAGAGTGTTGAAAAGTAATCCTCAATTGGGGGCCATTGTATGACTTTCTAAATAAAGAGATGAGATTCTGTTGACATGCGCAGACATAATGGTGAGCTATACTTGGTCTGGGTACTGATCCCAATATTTTTGTACACTACTTACTCTGTGCAGTGCTGGGGGATTAGCTTGGATTGATCTCCACATTTTAATGCCCAACCAGGAGCATTTTGGTGAATATTTAACTAGAGTCACTAATATACGTATGTTTATAAAATGTTCCCAAACTACTATTAACGATTACTTTCAGCACCAGCAGTGAGAATGATGTCACATTTCATCTCAACATTAGATATTTTCATTACCCTTTTGGAGAGTTTCAGTTCAAGGCTGAAAAAGTGGATACTTTAATCCCCTTCTCTCCATTAGTCTTTTTTCCTCACCTTTATTAGTCACAGCCGGTGGCTTAGTACTGAAGTAGGAGTGTGTAAGCTTAGAGTTAGACAGACTAGGGTTCCATCAGCGAACCTATGAGTATAGCTTTCCCATTTGGAAGTGACTATTAATAACACCTATCACAAAGATTTCTCCTAATAGCAAATGAGATAATACGTGGACATTGTCTTTACATAAATGTTAATAAGCACCAGTTACCATTTTCTATTTATCTCTCCCTTTTTGTCCCATCTCCTTTATCTTCCAAATGAAAATTTAAAAAAAATTAAAAATATCCTATATAATAAAAGGCTAATACGCAAATTGACTG